TAGTGGTACAGGCAGTGTTGGTATGGTCGCTCGTGATTTGGGCTACAGTGTGCTTTCCTTGGATTTGAAAAATGCTGCTATCAATCAGGATATTCTGAGTTGGAACTATAAAGAGTTTGATGTTGATGATTTTGATGTGATTTGGTCATCTCCTCCGTGCACAGAATACAGCATAGCGAAGACGAGGGGTGTCCGAAAGATAGATTATGCTAACAGTATTGTTTTGAAAACCCTTGAAATCATCGACTACTTCAAACCGAAGTGGTGGGTCATTGAAAACCCTGCAACTGGACTTTTGAAGGAACAGCCCTTTATGAGTGGTCTAAAAAATATTATGATGTGGATTACTGTGAATATGGTATGAACTACCGAACGCGAACAAGGTTGTGGACTAACATTGAAACATGGAAACCTAGACCATTATGTAAAAGGGATTGTGGCAAGATAAGAAATGGAAAACATCTTGAAACTGCTCAACGGTTGCAAAGTGGTAAAAAGCTTGATTGGGGTGATGGATACATCAGTCATAAACAAGATGAGTTGTATAAGATACCTACTGATTTGATTAGTGAAGTATTTGTTAGTTTGTTTGATGGAAGGGGGGATTAAGCATTACAAGCAACCAGCGTCATGAGCGTCCTTGATGTCGTTGGAGGCGGACCTTCTGACAAACAGGGATGGATAAAAGGGGTGGGTTTGGGCTTGGGGTTATGAGCTTGAAATGGATTTTGTGATTTTTTGGGTTTGGATGAGTTGGGAAATGGTGGATTATGCCCTTGTTTTGGTTGGTTTTCAGAAAGTGGAGTTGAAGGGGTCGAGAGGGAGGCCGCCGACACCTTGAACCTGTCAGCATCATAGACGGTGCTGTCGTTGTCTTCTCAACCTCAGAGCGACGCGGATGCGGGAACTACAAAAAAAGAGGAAACAGTTGAAAACAGCAGACACAGACAGAGTAGTACAGCAATTCCTTTTCGCGCGACCCCATTTCAAACGCAGTGATGGTTTCTGAGACCAATTGAAGGTCAAGCACCACAGACAAACACGCTTGGGAGACAAACCCAAGTCTAATAGCATTGACACGAATTTGTGTGTCTCCTGACCCAGTATTGAATACTGGATACTGCCAGTATTGAGTATTGAATACTGGATACTGCCAGTATTGAGTATTGAATACTGGATACTGCCAGTATTGGAAACTGAATACTGCCAGTATTGGAAACTGAATACTGCTAATATTCAAAAAACACAGTTGAATACTGTCAGTATTAAAGAAACACAGTTGAATACTGACAACGAACAAAATAAAGGGTAAGGACACTTCACATTAGAGAGCACGAATTCACCTCCTGTTCAATAGGAACAACAGCAGGGTTGATATTCACCTCTGTTGCTCTCCTCAATCCTTCTCGGTAAGAAACCGCCTTTCGTAAGTCAGAAAGGAAACGGTCATTTTCAAAGACGTATTCCTGACCCTTAGGGCAGGAGTATTCTTTTGAACATACATCACAGTAGCAATGGATTAAATCCAGTCGTGCCTTATGTACAAATGACAGACAGTCAAGCAAGTCAAGTTCTTTTAGAAGCAAGTAAGCACACTGTGCAAGTTTCGGCTCAGTGTTCCCCTTGACCTTCATAACCTCAATGATGTTCGCCAACTTCTCATCAGAAAGGCGAGACAGACACTCCTTGAAGAAGGGTTCGTTGTTTGACATCTTCTCTTTAACGGATTGATGGCATCATAGACGGGGTTCAGCAGCGTCTCCAATTGATGAGGCATTCGCTCACCAGACAAGGTCACTTCGTCAAACTGCTTGTTGATGAGCAATTTGGCACGGTCAGCAAGAGACTTCACCGCAACATCCTTTTTCAGGATTTTCTTAATGACCTTCTTGCCGCCAAAGACCATGACTCAGACTTTGAAAAGGTAGGAGGTCTCAAAAAACACTATGGCGCAAAACGCCTGCGAAAGAGCAACGCACAATGAGACAAGGTAAGGTTCATCAACATCATGCTTTCTGCTTGAAGCAGTGAAGTCCGAACACTGCACCCCCACCAGGACGACTTTGGCAGATATGGGGAGTACTGAACAAAGGGCGTGTTGAAGAGGAGGCGCAGCATGAAGGCCAGCATCCTCACCACCTTGGGTGGCTTCCCCACCGTGGTGGTAGCCATCTTCCACGCCCAGAGCGGTTGGAGCATGGACTTAGCCAGAGGACAGGCCGAAGTCGCCCACTGAATGCGACCCAAAACCTTCTCGATCTCCTTTGCGTGCGTCGCCTGGCCTTCAACCATGATCTGCAGGACCTCCATCACCAGGATGTGTTTGTTGGCTGCCATGAGAACCTGTGGGAGGTTGGGATGGACCACAAAGCCCAACCGCGTGTTGACCTCCGCCAGGTGCGTCTTCTTCCAACTTAGCGGTGTGCCAAGTGCCAACAGCGTAGCCAGCGCTGCCGCCGCCAAGTTTACGGCCCCTTTGATGCGTAGCAGCCATAGGAAGTCATCCACAAACACGAAGTTCCAGTCCACTTGAGGGAAGAGCAAGTACAAGATTCTGAGTAGAAGGGCCGCCAGGAGGCAACCTGGAAACGCCAGTCCTTCCGGATCTCCTGTGGGCCTTGGTGACGTCCGCCTTGAGTAACATCCACCGGGTGCCAGGCTCCGGCCACTGCCACCCCCGTGGCTGAGGCTCGTGGTCCCCCATCCCGGGCCGGAGGCGCCCTGGGATGGGGCCCCCGCTTCTGCTGCCGCGTGAAGCCAATGGAGAGCTTGGGCTCCATCCAACACTGTGGGGGCCGTTGTGCGCTCCACCGTCTTGGCCCCCCCAACCGATCCATCATAGATGGTGCGGACCTTGTCTCCCTCATCGATGCCGGCTAGGGGACCTGGGCACAGATCTCCAGGGCTACCATCGCAGCGCTCCGCAGCCATCGGGCCTTCCACCATGCCCATCCACAAAGGTGCTTCGAATGAGCTCTTGGAAGTGGTCCGGGCGGAGGGGTAGTGCCCTCGGCCTGAAGGGTTTGGAAGCTCCTGGAACTCCGGGTCTCACTCTTGAGCGGCCAGATGCCCGGAGACACCAGTGGTGGGTCTGTGACCCCCAAGGGGACCCCTCTGCAAAGCTCCAGATGAAATTGGAAGGGTCCTGAATGTCAGCTGCCACGCTATACAGGACGAAACCTTTCCCGGGGCAAGGATCTCCCGAATGCTATGCAGCAGATCTTCTGGGAAGGGGTGCGACCCTTCTCCCACTGAAAGTGACTCCTAAAGTCTCTCTCCCCAGGAGGCCGTAAGGATGCAAATCTTGGCGCCCATCAATGCTGCCTGTGGGCCTCGTCCACGGAGCCAGTAGGAAGGCTTGCCACCCCCGTCCCTGAGGGGGCGTTGTTTGAAGCCCATCTGCAGGCACATGACCGGATAGACTTGGGTCATGTGTGATCGGCAGTATCGTGGGTCTGTCCACGATCCCCTTGCATTGCTGTGTCCATTGATGCAGCACGCCACTTCAGGAATTCTGATTGCTGAAGTGGGGGCGGGTCATTTCTCCCAGAGTGCTTCCAGTGCGGTTTTGACTGGGCTTGCCCTCTGACGCGTGGAGCAGGTTCCACATGTTATAGGTCCGCCAAGTCATCTGCCGACAGCGGTTGAGGAAGGCGCCCTGCCGCCGCTGTGACCAGGCTGTTGATGTAGTCCGACGGAACCAGATGGTCCTCCGGTCCCTGTAAAATGTCCGAGTCCTCCAATATCCGAGAGAAGGCAACGGCTGGCTCCCCTCCGAACCTGTCTGGGGTACCATGACGCAGGCGCATCAGGACCATCAGTTCTGGGTCAGTAGAAGTAGAGCGGGAAAGAAAAGGGATCCCCAGACCCAAAAAAAAACACACCCAAAATCCACAGGAAAGGGGGGGGGAAAGGGGCCCGAAACCCCGCTGGAACGGAGGGATCCCCGCCCGACCGTTCGCGCCGCCTTTCATTACTTTTTTCTCCGCGGGGCAGCTGGACTGGCCCGTCTGTGGGGCACGGCGTGCCTCGACAGCTGTCTGCGAGTCAAAGGGAGCGCCTCCGGAGTAACAGGGATCCCTTACACCAAAAGGCCAAGAGGCAACTCAAACCAACCCACAGTGCCACCCCGTGATCTGCAACAGCCGGGAGCCACCCCGGCTCGCCTTCCAGAAGCCACGGCAAAACCGGCACATGTAGCCCCCTGTTGTCTTGAACTTCTCCTTGCTCACAACCTCCCAGGCACTAATGCTGGGCAGGACCAAGCCACACTCCACCGATCCCCAGAACACATGCTCTGCCTCCTTCGGGAAGTGCTTCTTTATGTAGTTCGTCCCCGCCACTGCCGTCACCGTGGCCGTGGTGATGGGCGGGTAGCGCCGTGTGCCCTGGTCCGTGGACCTCAGCGTGGTGTCCGCGCCCGCCATGATCTTGGCCTTCGGGTCCGCCTCCTTGGCCGCCGCCCCCTAAAAAATGTAGAAAAGGCTTGTCCTAGGGGGTGGGGGTTAGATGGTTGCCTGTTCTGTTTTTTATTTCACAATTCAACACATGCACTATCTTAGTCGTTTTTTCAAGGCTGGTTCTGGGGCCAAGAAATAACGATATGAATGTGGCAACGTTGATGATTTTGTCCCCTGTTTCGTTCCAGATTTCAACTTTTAGTTTTATTGACTGAAAGAGGATAGGACCTTCTGTGGTTTCACGGGTTGGCTTTTGGGTGGTTGTTGTGGATTGTCATTTAATGAAATGTTCGTGCTTTCCCTTGATTCGGTCGCCCCACCTCGGCTTCGTGCTCCTGCCCTACTTCTTCAAGACTTTGTCGGGACACTCGGATTGGTGGAGGGATCCTATTAGCGAGACAACGTGTCATATTGAAGTTGGAATGTGTAGTCTGGCTTGATGAAACGCTCTTGTGCTACTCATTGACTGTATCTCACCCTGTGCTCAGACAGCAGTTCGCCAAGCAACGGTTCGTCAATCTGACTTCAACCTGTGACATCATGTCACCGAAGAAGCAGAACACCAAGGACGCTCCTGCGTCCTCCAGCGGTGGCTATGCAGTCAACGTCCAACAGCAGGAGGACACCGCCAACGACCGCGCCATCGCCCAGCTTCTCCAGATGATGGAAAACATGTCCTTGGATGGTGCTTCCAAAGATGTGGAGACTATGGTCAAGAAGGCACAGGAGATGAAGTCTCGCTTCCTTATGATCGAGAAAGAGAAGAACAAGAAAACACCTGAACAGAAGGCCGAGGAGGACAAGAAGAAAGCCGTCGAGCGTTCCGTCGCTGCCAAAGCCAAGACCAAGGCAAAGGTGCAGAAGTTGTACCGCTACTTCGTGGTCGTTGAGGGCTCTGAGTAGCCTCCCTATGAAATCCACCCGAAGGGGCGCTCCACCCTGAAGAGCATCTACACCGAGATGGCTAAGCAACTCGACATCAGCAAATCCAAAGCCAAACAGTGCGTCTACACCTACAAGGGAGTGAACATGGGCGACTTCAACCGTCGGGAGACGACGGGTGAGTGGCATATGCAGGAGGATGACCGCATCACGATGCAGTTCCCCATCATCACAGCGCCCAGAAGAGGAGACGACTTCCAGCGAGGAGGAGCTCGGCAACATGGAGGTCTGCAACGAAGGCGTCGATGAAGATGAGGACACTCACCTGAGAGAGCCACCCAAGAAGAAGTGAGCCCGTGCATTGACAGAGCCAAACCGTTCAAAGCAAGAAAAGTAAATCATCTAACCACATGTTGATGTGTAAACACACAGTTGTATGAGAAAAAGACCCTTCCTGCCGAAGTCAGACCAAGGACTGGCATTTGTGGGGGGATGGTGCTCCAACCAGAGGGAACCGGACAAGTCAGCGGTCTTCTGGTTCCACGAGCAGATCCACCAGGAAGAGTACCCCTGGGCATTCAAGGATGGGGATCCCAAGCGGCGAATTGCGGCACTGGAGATGCTAGGCACGCTCTTGCTCTTCCTCTGCGGCCTGATCCTCACGCATCAGGGCCCCTTGGCCTCCAGGGTGAGACTCCCGGTAGGCAGTGACAACCAGGGCAACGTGATGGCAATGCTCAACCTTGGATCCAAGAAGCCCTACACCGCGGCTATCCTGATGGAGCTGGTACTCCTGCTACACAGGCACGGATGCTCTCTGGCAGTCAATCATGTGCCTTGTGAATTCAATATGCGGGCGGACGAACTAACCCACCCTGATTTTGCAGGATTTGATCAGTCGCACACAGTTCCGAAACCGGAACTGTGTGAAGATTTTACCTTTCTTCCGCGTCTCCTAAATGGAGATACGTTTGGCCTTAGCGCGGACCCACCCAAGCTCCCGTGACCGGAGCCGGTGGGTGACTCACTTCCCTTAGGTGGCAGACTCCCTGAGGCCTGGGTGCCTCCGGCCCCGGCCGAAGGGGGGCGCAATCAGTCTGCGCACCGGTTATTTTCTTGTCCAGGATTTTTGAAGTGGGTGGCACGGAGGACCACCCAACCTGGAACTCATGAAAGGGAAGATGAGTTCCTGGCACCAACACAATGCTTGGATAAAAGAGTTATCGCCTGCTTGTGTTGTGCTGTTTGGTCAGCTTGCATACACTGCGGATGCTGGGCAAATTCGACAAGTGCTATCCATACGCACTGCTCGCCAAGTCTCCCATGTCCACACTCCTCCCCAGCCTGCAGCAGCCTGCTTTTGATTTGAGGCAACTATATTCTCGTCTTTTGTTCCAAGCCTCAAGCCATGTGATCGGGCCATTCCATTGCTTGGGGCATGAGGAATCCCCTTGTACCTTCAAATCTGAAGCCAAGCTGCCTCGCTGGGCAGCAGCCCCCATCCACATACGGTTGATCCTTGAGGCAGATGCCCGTTCCAAGTTGCCTTCATTGGGTATCTAGCTTCGCTTCCGGATGTTCCAGAACAGATAGGGTTGTAGCCCTTGCCAACATGCCTGCGCGGCTTTGCAAGAATCAACCAGTCTGCATTTCGTGCAGGTCTTAGCCGATATGGCAGGTGCGGGGCCCAGGACTTCTTTTTCAGATCGAGAGGTTGCAGTGCATCTGTTGTGCCAGGCTGTGTTTGCATCCTGACGGTCTTACACTGTCTGCTATTGGCTTGCCCCTTATGTTGCAGTTTGTGGCTGATGTCTTCGATGCAGATCCAGCGTTGAGGCGTTTGCCAAAGATACTTGCAGAGCGTGCCTTATATACACTCTTGGTGCTGCAAGTGCATGCAGCAGCGCGTGGTTGTTGCCAGCCTAGGCAGCCCCGCGTCTCCGGTGACACTTGAAGCGCCCAAGACAGTTCAACAAGGCGTGTTGTCAATAGAAGCAACACTGAAGCAACACTGGAAACTGCGCAGTGCAGCCCAGGACAAGGCAGCTCCGCCTGGAGCTTTGTACCTGCCTCTCAGGAGACCTGCTAGACCATTGCAGCAAAACTGTCGATGCAAGTACACCTCGTACAAGTCTCGCAAGACTCGTCTGCCTTGTCTTTCAGTTTGCTGACTCGAGACTGACAGCTTCAGACCGGAGACTGTGCCTATGTGAGCCCTGATGTTTGCCCTCGAGCCAGGACATTGAAGTAGTGGTGACACCATCGAACAGTTCAGAGGATCCTGATTTGAGGTGCTTTTGAACAAGCGAGCTTACCATCACACCAATCAGAGCACCTGCTTGAATGATCTTGAATGATCTTGAATGATCTTGAATGCTAGAACGGTGCAGGCTTTATGCAGCGTCTGGAACTGCCTGCAAGCCAGTGCTCACCTCACAGGCCTTAACGCAGTCGATCCTGCCCTGCGCCTTGGTTGTTGCCCAGGAGATTGGTGGAGAGTACATGAGAATAGCTAGAGAGCTCACCAAAGAGTGGAATGCCGCGGCCCTGTTGATGCTTCTTGCATCATTCATTAAAGCCTTGAGCCACGTACTTCGCAGGTTTCAAAATACTATTTGCACGTGATGTGCAGAAGAGAGGCAGGTGGTCGGAGGATGAGTCCGTGTCACAGTCAGCGTTCAGGTGGACTGCAAGTATCACTTAGCCTTCTCAAAGGCTGAAGGAGAGTGGCAGGAGCCTACAGATTTTGCATGTTTTGACAAAGTTCATTGCAGTTTGTGAATGGCATTGTTCGTTGCAGTGACCTTAGTCACACCATAGTGTCACCAATTCTGGTTGGATAGATTGATTCTGCAGCAGTCGCCACGGATCTCACCGTTGCCTAGGTCGTCGACATGCGTTGCCATGCTGGAAGTCATTGCCAGTGAATAGATGTTGCTTTGCAGGCTTTTCCCACCTGCCCCGAAAGCAGTGTGGTGAAACCAAGGGCAGAAAGTGGATTTAGTCGAGGGTTCGCAGCCAATATCGACAAAACCTATGTAACACATGCGTGAATCTGGAGGGCTTGGGCATGGCCCAAACACCTGAAGTAGTCAGCTTGACTCTCTACCTTGTCTCAAGGATGAAAGGACGGCCTGGGTTTTTCAGTGGTAGCGGAGCCGGCAAGGTCCGCCATGGAGGTGGAGTGGAGATGCAGGACATCATGGGCGGCTAACAGCGGAAGCGGATGTGGCGCTCGACTGCCTTGGCGGGAGACCGACTGGGGCTGTGCAACACGCAGGTGCGCGCGCGCGCGCGAAATCGACGCCCGCGACGGGAAGCTCTTGACGAAATGTCATGCAGATCTTGGCCATGAGAACCTTTGGCGTGCAGAGCTCGACGACACGGTCGCAGTGGCACGATTTAGGGATCATGGAGAATCAGCGCGTCGAGCTCGGCAATGACATGGACCCTTTGTTTCTTTGCTTTGTGCTGGTTACGTTTGTGCGCTTGAGATCCCGCGTGTTGAAAGAGCAAGCGTTGCGTTGCGACATCACTTTCAGGGCTTCATAACAAGTATGCCACCTTCCGGGCTCAGCCTTTGTGTATTGGGTCTTGAAACGTGTACCACGATGTTCATGCTGGCATCAGGAGATTGGCGATGGGGAAGAAAGATCTGGAGTTGCTTATCATGGAGTTCCGTCTCACTTTAAGTTTTCATGCGGAGAGCCGCCCCTGCCCCAACGAGAGCGCACTTCACATCCTCGAAGCACTGGCAGCAATATTTGTGAGCGCAGTCGGGCAAGGTGCGCACGTGCTCTTGATGCCGGCCAGTCAGACAGAGTGACGTTCAGGCAGGGCCTAGCTTGTTGTAATGGTTGCAGAGAAGAGCTTACAAGCTTGCGCCCCATGCGCAGTGCCTGGCCGCGCGATGCGACATCAACCAAGCATTTGACTCTGTTAGTCTGACCCCTGCTTTTTATTTTTGTGCAACGCTGCTTGTCTGCCCATGAATGGCCAATCATTCTGACCGCAGACTGTCGTTTCAACATGCAGCTGAGGTCAGGTTTGGGCAACCCCCAACCACCCATGTGGATGAGCATCTGAACGCACCTTTCTGAGCCTTGCGCGATGAGGCATGTCACACCAGCTGCATCTTTGAGGCAACCAGAGGATGGTTCAGTGGAGAGGCGCCCGCGCCTGCTGAACCTAGCCTTGCCTTTGAATGAAGCCTCTCATGAGCGAAGATGGGGGTCAGCTTGTGACGCAAGTGCGCGTGGAGAGTCCATGCGTCAGACAAGGTTGAGTCCATGGGTCGGGTGTTGCAGAAGCTGGCGAAGTCGTTTGAACGGCGTTGAATCGAAACATGCGCGTAAGGACACGGCGCCACACAGTCAACGAACATTCTGCCTCCTCCAGTCAATCCACACGATACTGCTGCGAATGCTTCCATCGTGCTTGGCTTCATCAAGGAATGACTCAAAGATGCTGCCACAAGCGAGTTTTCAAAGCTGCTTCAAAGCTCCATTAACTTTCACCGCAGACACTAACCTCAGCGCAGCGGCGACAGAAGCCACTACATGGTCGCCAAACAATGAAGCTGCCCGAAGTCAAGAAAGACATTGCAAGGTATGATGGCTACTCACTGGCTGGACGGCCCAAATCTTGTCCTGTTTGGGTTCAACAGGTTTTGTCCACAACGCGTGACTCGGAAAGTGTGTTAAATCTCTACGCTCCGCAGGTTGTTAATGGCGGTATCCAGCGGGGGGACTTCTTCATCACCGTTTTGAAAAGGCTCGCAACTTGCGCGCGCCTTACGGCTTCTTGACCTGTGTGAGGCATGGCCTCTCTCCCCTTCCCTTTGTAGTGTCAGTCGGGGAGCTCTGAGAACTCAGATTAGTTCAAAGTCATTCATTCTTAGGTGAAGCTGCCAAGTTCAGTTCAGCTTCTGAAGCTCGGCAAGCCAACATTTGGATCAGTCAATCAGCCGCTGGCTCAGATGCGCGCCCTATATCCCACCAAACATCCCGTACGAGTGCGCCGTTAGCCAAGCCCAAAGCCCTATCAGCCAATCCAGCCTATTGGATCAGGTTCGCCACTGGCAAACATTGGACTGTTTTCTGGGATTGCAGGGTCCGGCGTGGAGAGTCTCCGCTGGCTTGTGATTTGGCTTCTCCCAACCTGTGTTGTTTGGCTGCCAATCTGGAGCAACCGCAAAAACCACACCAACCCTAAAGCAAACCAAGCAAACGCCCTACAATACAACCCTAATATCCACACTAACCGAGGCCTAGCCTGAAACCAAACCGAAGCCGACCAAACCAAGCCGAAATGAACCCCAAACCTAAGCCAAACACGAAGCCACGAGCAACACTTAGACGAGGTGCGCTAGTTGCGTGTTTTTGGAGGCTTCTAGTCTTCCCACGGGTCAGCCATGAAAGTTGCACTTGATCTAGCGAATACAGAGGAAAGATCTTGAGAAAACAAAAATTAACCACTCATCAAGAAAGCCAAACAGAGCCTAGAAAGCAGAACAAAAATACAACAACTAATTAGAAAGTCTTTGGTGCACAACCCATGTTGAAAGAGTTCTGGAAACATGGTATTTTTTTCTTCGAGTTGTTTTTGTGTTTTTGTGTTTTCTCGAGGTTGGCTTTGCAGCTTTTTGCGTGCTGTTCTGGCGTTTGGCAGTTTTTGTAGCTTTGGCTTTCCACTCCCTCAGCATCGCCAGCGACCCTCAGTAGCATCACTGCCAGGATAGTGTCTGTGACCCACCCCAAGCCAGGACTCAGCAATCCCCAAACTAACTAATCCTAAGCAAACCCTAAACACCCTATACCAACGCTAATCCTAAATTAACCTACCACCCCAAACCAACGCAACCACTGGCCCAGACTTAAAACACAACCAAACCCACCCTAAACCCGTCCTACAGAAACCTTAACCCCCCGCCAAAACCAACCCGAAGCCAACCCTAAACAATCCGAACCCCACCCTACACTGCTCTAAACTAGCCCCAAACCAGCCCTAAACCCACCCCAAACCAACAATAAAAGCCCACCTAAGCAATTTCTATGCCACCAAACATTTGCCTTCAAAATGGCGATGTGTTCAAAGCCGAAGCCGTAACAATTACTTGGCTGGCCATTGCTGTTGCTACGATTTTGTGGTTGTGGCTGCTCCTGTCATACTTGTAGGTTGCTGCTAGCAAGGCACAGCATGTCATTCTACAAGTTCTTCGTGGACCAAGCGGACACTGATATCGAGGCTTGACTTGGAAAATCGTAGCTGCGCTCCCAGACTTGTGTTTTCTCACAGGTGTACTTAACAAAGCTTGATGGGGATCCAGACTGCTCCCTAGCCCATGAGGAGGCAGGATGCAAATGCCACATTGGCATGCAAGCAAGTACTGTTCAGAGAGCATTTGGTTCAGGTGAACCCTCGGCCATCTCGTCTTGCTTTCCAATGGCCCGCGCGCTTAGACTGAATCAGCTTTCTTCATGGCACTTGCACCAGGCATTCCGGGGCTCCAGGAGATGATGAAATTACAGTACCGCCAGAGCGGGCCATAGTTGCTCATTTGCAGGCGAAATGCCCTAGGGTGTGTGAAGTTTTTTCTAAGGACGATCCAAAGCGCAGACAACATACAACCGGGTGGCGAGTTCCTCAGACATGCCATGAACTGAACTCTTGCAGTCGGCGCTTCAGGTTTCATGTAGGTGTGCAGAGCTTTGAGGCCATTGTGCGTTCTCTTGCTAGCATGTTGAAGCTTGTCCTCTGAAGCACACATTTGGAGTGTCGTGGAGGGCATGTTCGGCTGCGCACAGGATGCCACTTTTTCAATTATTGCCTTTGCCGCGCACTCAGCGTGACAGAAAGTCAGAAAGGTGCGCTTGCAGAGCGCAGATAGTGCGCCTACAGTGTGTGCTACTTGCCGTTGGTAGGTGTGGTCATAAGCCCCGTAATGGGAAGTCTTAAAACCGTAATAAAGAACCCCATAGAGGGAATCATGACTATGTGGCATCCACGCAGTTGGAATCTAAGGTAGAGAAGCACATAAATGCATCCTCAGACATCAACCAGGGCAAGGAGCGCTACTCAAGGCATGCGCGGAGTGCAAGTCAGGCACATTGCTTTGATGAACCTCTTGATGAATAGTGTGTCAGCTGTTTGATAGAAGAAGCTGTTTCTTGGAAGAAGCTGTAACACCGTAACACCTTCTACAGCCACCGCTTAAAGGGAGCTTGAGCTTGTAAAGCCTCCTTTAGTCTCATTAGCCTCGATGGATGTGACTTGCTAGACATGTGGGATCTCTTTGAACACACGCCTTGTATGCTGCCAAATGTTCGTACTTCAATGGAGGGCGGCACATGTGTCAGAAGGCAGTACTTGTTTGCCGTCTCTTTGCTGCGTGGTGGTCGGATTCAACAAAATTTTTCCTTGTGGTTACCCTGAGGCTTTCTTCCGCCAAGGCTCGTCCTTCGTCGACCTTTCCGCCTGTGCTTGTTCTCCAGGTCTGAGGCTACTCCTTTCACGCTCGCCTTTTCCACATTTTCTTTTTGCTGGCTGTGTTGATTTTGACTAGCTGTTTTGAGAGCGAACGCATCGTTTTACGCCAATTGCTAGACTGCCACTTCATGCTCGAAGAGGCAAATACATTTTTTGCCTTCTTCAGCTCAGACTTGCCTTTTTCCGTTTTCAATCTTGCTGGATGTTGAAGTTTCTTCGTTCGGGGCTGGGGAGGTTCCTGTTGTAGGAAGGTTCCTCGCGGCCACTCTTTGCGGCTCCTTACAGACGCTACTTGCTGCTTGCGGCCAACTCCTGTGGCCATTCCTTGGGGCCACTTGCGCGCAGTTTCCGAAACTAGGTATGAAGGAAGACGCTTTGACTCTCTAGGATTGGCTGATAGACTAATATATATTCTGTCTGTCCTTTGGAAAGTGGCCCCTCCGAGTTCGCCAATCCCTTGCTTGTTCTTTGACCAGAGCCAGCTAACCTATGACGGTTGCAATTTGGTTTTTGTCGAAAGGTTGAAGACCTCTTCTGTGGATGTTCCGGCATTGGGTCGGCCAACAAGGGTTTTTGAGAGTATTTTCTCAACACTGGAGACTTGAGCTCCAGAATATGCCTTGGGACTTTTTGAGGCGACTTGTCCAGATTTGTGCGCAAGTCGATCAATGTGAAGAGTGATTGTAATACAGCGCAAGGGGGCATCGACGCTTTTTGTGGCAAGTATCAAGCCTGGAGCGGCAGAACAGTCTGGGTTGGAATCAGCAGCGGGCCGTATTTGACAACGCCGCGCGTACCCGAGCCAATTCTGCGACAACAGATCAGCTGTCACGGGTTGCTCAACACATGTTCAACAGACACGTCCTTCACGCATCCACTGGCAAATGCCAGCTTGAAGGCGTTGCTGTCTTGGGTCCTGATGGATGGCTTTCAATACATGCTCAGCAGGCTTGTTTGGGCGTTTGCCAAGTCGAACCAGCAATGCATGGGCGACAGGGCAAGCAGTACTGTCCTCAATAGCGCTGGCCGAAAATAAGACTGGCCACATGAAGCCTTACAAAGCAGTCGCATGGGTGCCATTTGGCCTCTAGCCAGGACGGCTATGTGGTGCAATGGACCGAGCTTTGGCTCGGGCTTCCGCAGGCGAGCGAGTGTCATGTTGGCCTCGGCCACATCGGCCACGTTGGCCACTCGCCAGGCCATGGCTGCCCAACCTGGCCGACCAGCCAACTTCCTCTTTTACAGCCAGCTGGTGGGAGCTCCAGTCCTGCCACGCTTTGCGTCCACCGAAAACCGCGCCACAGAAGTGACATGTGAACACTTCTGCAGGCAACCTCGAAACTGTTCGTGACAGTGGAGGCCTAGGGACACATGGATGGCATGAGCACGCTGTTGACGTGAAGGCACTAGAGGGCGACAAGCCGGATGCCTGCGACCCGGCCTGAGAGTCGTCAACCTTGCAACTTAGAAGATGTATTCATTCAATGTTCATAATATTTACATCATAGTGACATCCAACCTTGTGTTGAGAAAAGTCTGAGGTTCACAAATGCGGAGCTGATCCTCATAGGTGCAGCCCAATATGCTTCAGTCTTTGTTAGCCATGGTTGTTCAGTTGTTCAGGTGTCCATGGTTGCCAATCTACCTTGGTGAGACCACGCAGCTTGGATTGACCCGAATTCGGGCCCAGCACAAACTCACTGATCGTTTTGAGGCGGGCAAAGGTTCCAGTCAAGGCGGACCTGATCTCAGCTCTTACTCTCTGTGCATACTTGGAATTTGAGCAAAGGTGAGCTTTTGCCGAGAAGGGGAGCTTCGTGGTCACAGCAGTGATGAGCAGGCAGCAGGGCCCCGCGGCAGGACGTTTTTGCGGTCCGGACGCACTGCTGTATTTGATTAAGTACAAACAAATTTATTTTGGCTTCTATGCAGTTGAAAGCAACATGCCATGCTGCTGACTTGTGGGACATGCATCAAGGCAGACAGCTGTTCCTTTTCTGTTGATAAAATGTCACACATACTTGGCAGCAGGAATGTTTCAAGCCGACCTGGTTGCTATACCCTTTCGAGCCAGACTCTCGCATTGACAACGGAGAGTGAGGTGCGTTCATGTACGGCCGCAGGTGGTCATCAGCAAGCCCTGCACCAACTGTTGGTATGCGGTGTGCTTCGCATGTTTGCAAAGCTGCGGGGGGCATGGAGAATCGATGGCCATAGGGTTCAATATGAAGTGTGTGGCAGATACTGGTGACTACCGAGTCAAACCGGAGCAGGCTTGGCCAACAAGTCGACGCGATTCACATTTCGCCTGGCTGCGTTGCAGATTCAAAATTCAGCTTGGAGCCGCCGGCAGAGCACACCCACTCGTTTGCTTCTTAAGAGCACGCCTGTCAATCTCTTCTGACACAGAATGTCTAGAAATGCACAGGTTGACGGTGAAGCCTTCAAGGGCTCAGTTGATGGTGGTGATGCCTGTTCTTTGTTCGTGACGGGCTCAGCCTTGCTTTCTTTCTCTTTTGTTTGAGTCGCTTGTGCCCCAGGTCTACGACTTGTCCAGATCTGTTGCGGAGACTCGAGCGAGAACCAATGCCACACTACAGCTGTCTCTGACGAGAGAGCCAGCCTCAGGGTCCAACAGTAGTGCAAGTGCCCCGCTTGGCGCCGTTGAAGCAAAGTCTGAAGCTGAGATCTATGGCAACCCAGTATTCGACGTCAGGAAAGGCTCTGAGGACAGTTTTAGCTTCTTCTTTCTGCAGTCTTTCATGGATTTGCCTGCTGTCCATCACATCCTGGTTGAGGACGGGCAGCTCCTGTTCAGCTCCAGTGCATTTGGCTCAGGCCTTACGACAGTGACCTCTGAGAACAGCACATGTAGCTTAGTTTGAAGTGCACTGAACCCATGCCTGATCAAACAGGCAGCACACGGCGCGTATAGATGTTGACAATCTTGGCGGACACTGAAAGGACCAAGTAGCTGAACCAGCCCTTTCATTGTTGAGCTGTGCAGGCTTTTGTGGCATCATTTGTGCCCTGCATAGACCGGGATGTGCCCAAGGTGACGACTCCTGGAGTTTAGCGTTGGATTCTGTGGGAAAAGTCACGCAGCTATCCGATACGTATTACATCAATGCCTCGCTCTTATTCGCTGGAGTAGCTTCAGAAAGGCGCTTTCAGGACGTCACATGCGACATGAGGTGTGTGCTTCTGGACGTCAGCATGCGTCCTTCCGACGGAGTTGCTTCAGTTGGAGAATTATATGCAACTTATAGTCATGATCATGTCAGGCAGTTTCGCATCCAAGCCAGCTGGGACCAACCCTTGCCAAGGACTGGCATGGAGGGACAGCAGCAAGAAGACAGTGAGCATGTTCGTGTTTGGAGTTTAAGCTGTCAAGTTGCCCAGCTCCCTTCTGCAGTTTTGATGGCGGAAATGCACTGCTGGCATCTCGGAGATTCCAGAATGTGATCCACCGACGCACCTTATGAGATTCCGAGGAAGTTAGGCTTTGGAATGCTGCGAGATGGAGAGGCAAGAGACTGCGCCTGGACCAAGCTGCAAGCCCCACTTACAGCAGCTGGCAGGCGCAGTCAGGAAGCATTTTTGCAGGCAAGCCTGGCTCCTAGAAGATGCTGGGCCATTGGCCTCTCGTTTCCCGGCAGACTGGGTGGCCTAGGCGCAACATCTACCTATTTGTACCTGCCACTGGCCAAGCTGCGCAATATGCGTGGCGATTGGCTCTGAAGCTCAATGTCTCAGGCAACAGCAGAAGCCAAGCCAAGTATTCGGGTTTCTATCACCTCTATGAGTGCGATGCTTACTCGCTTCGCTGTAGTCGCTTGGCCCTTGACGACCGGACACGGGCCTGAGGTGGTGATTGCAGCCTGTTTATTCTGGCTCCAAGAGAAGGCCAAGCATGCGGTGGAGACATGAGCTGGCCGAAACAAGACATGCCTTCAAGCCTCAGGAGACAACGCCAAGGAAAAAATCAGAGAATTCATCAGCAACCCCATTGCACCCTGGCACAATGCAAGTGCAAGTAGTGTCAGTGTTAGTGTCAAACATGTTGCACTTCAGGCAACCGCAGACTGGAAAGAGGTGAAGTTCTCACATCTACACTTGCACAGAGCGCGATTCAAGAGCCTTGCCGTGCGTGGCAAGCGAGGTCGAAAGAAGCCAGCCTACAATCCTTATTGCTCCTTCAGACGCCAAGCGCGCCGCAAATGAGATGGCATGAGACCAACAGACAGCACATTTGCTTTAGGTATTTGCCGCCCACTGCAGCACTATATATAATTTTGGTGACAGCACCTGGGAAAGACACCGTGTGACACTGAGCCCTTTACGAGCCTTTTGCTTTGACTGATTTTGACTGCGTGGGCTCCCTTGGCGAGCAGTTTTCAGCTTGGTGAGCGCATTTGTTATTTTTTCAGGTTCAGTACGAAATAACAGCAGCAGCTGGAGGACTAGAGGCAGCAGCTTCCCACTAAGTCATTGCCGCCGGCGCCAGCCTGCAGGAGTTGCCAACAACAGGCCTTCCCATCCGAGGACAAGTCAAAGCAAAGGAGTGGGCAATCAAGTGTTGAGCCTTTCATATCATTTGTTTGTTTCCCAATATGAGGTACCGCCGCTACAGACTTGTCGTGGCAGAGGCCCTTGCCTCTTTGCAAGTCAGACAATATTCAGCAGCAACCGATGATGTGAGGCTGACGAGCATGTGTCAGTCCAACTGGCTGCTGATGTTGGAGATTGCGACCTGTACGTAATTCGGCAGAAATAGCACCCAGTTATAGCCTCTTCTTCGCTGTAAAAAGCTCGTTTGCACAGTTGATGCCGCGCATGGAGCCCGCTGCTACGCTGCTTTGCCAAGGTTGGCAGGACAGCTGATGTTTCTTCCAATAATTATGATTGGAGGCAAGGGGGCATGTCAACAAGCACTTCCACGCAGTGCCTGAGAGGTCAGAGGCGTTCGGCTCTGACTGGATCTTCATCAACGGCCTTGGAGAACTCAACCAGAAGCATTGTGACAACAAGGCAATGATTTGAATGTTAACAGCTACTCCGTATGCAATTCAATGCGTCAGACCATCAGCGAGAAGAACGAATGCGTTTACTTTGTGGCTGTGAAGGGCGTGTCAACAGAGTCTGCGTCACCCTAAGCATTGGCAGAAGGCCTGGCTTGATGTCCAGTCTCAGCAACATGCCTGCTATCCTTGTGGCAAAACGGCAGTGCCTTCTGAGCAATGCTCAGGACTTTACACTGCAGGCAATTGTTCCTTCTGCAATGGTGCCGCTTCCCTTGCTGGAGACCCAGATCGCGCTTTAGAACAAAGTATCACTCTAGACCTCGACTAGGTAGCAAGGGCATGTAAAGGTGGGCTGTTTTCAGGGTACCCTTTTGGGAGCCACAAAGGACAAACTCATGTTGTTGGGTGCCTGACGCGCTTAGGGTTAGCATGACTTAAAATGGGCAAGTCTTTGTGAGCAAGTCTTCGAGAGCAATCTCTTTGTAACATCTCTTTGGGCCATCTCTCTCCAAGTGTCCTGCCCGCCTTGCAAGATCTTAAATGCGACATTGTTGTTTTCCGCTATGATGTGTCTATGCACATGTTGAACCCACCGCAGACATACGCAGACGGCGCAGACAACGCACACAGTGCTCACACCGCACAAGCCGCAAACACACCGCACGCAGCGCGCGCACACTGCGCACACACACACACACACTGACATAATATACACACACACAGACACACAAACACACAGACACACAGACGCACAGACGCACACACACAGACACACACACACACAGACACAGACACAGACACAGACACAGACACAGACACAGACACAGACACAGACACAGACACACACACACAAACACAAACACAAACACAAACACACAGACACACAGACGCACAGACACACAGACACACAGACACACAGACACACAGACACAGACACAGACACAGACACAGACACAAACACAGACACAGACACACACACACACACACACAAACACAAACACAAACACACACACACACAAACACACACAAACACACACACAAACACAAACACAAACACACACACAAACACACACAAACACACAAACAACCACAAACACACACACACAAACACACACAAACACACACACGCAAAGACACACACACACACACAAACACACACACACACAAACACCCACACACACAAACACACACACACTCAAACACACACACAAACGCACACACGCACACACAAACACACACAAACACACACACACACACAAACAACCACAAACACACACACACACAAACACACACACACAAACACACACACACACAAACACACACACACACACACACAAACACACACACACACAAACACACACACACACAAACACACACACACACACAAACACACAAACACACACACACACACAAACACACACACACACAAACACACACACACACACACACAAACACACAATAAATGCAAACACACACACAAACACACACACAAACACACACAAACACACACACACACACACAGAACACAGACACACGACACACAGACACACACACACAGAACACAGACACACAGACACACAGACACACAGACACACAGACACACAGACACACAGACACACAGACACACAGACACACAGACACACAGACACACAGACACACAGACACACAGACACACAGACACACAGACACACAGACACACAGACACACAGACACACAGACACACAGACACACAGACACACAGACACACAGACACACAGACACACAGACACGACACACAGACACACAGACACACAGACACACAGACACACAGACACACAGACACACAGACACGACACGCAGACACGCAGACACGCAGACACGCAGACACACACGCAGACACACGACACGACACACGCAGACACACGCAGACACACGCAGACACACGCAGACACACGCAGACACACGCAGACACACGCAGACACACGCAGACACACGCAGACACACGCAGACACACGCAGACACACGCAGACACACGCAGACACACGCAGACACACGCAGACACACGCAGACACACGCAGACACACGCAGACACACGCAGACACACGCAGACACACGACACACAGACACACGACACACACAGACACACACAGACACACACAGACACACACAGACACACAGACACACCCAGACACACACAGACACACAGACACACCCAGACACACACAGACACACACAGACACACACAGACACACACAGACACACAGACGACACACAGACGACACACAGACGACACACAGACGACACACAGACGACACACAGACGACACACACACACACACAGACGCACACAGACGCACACAGACGCACACAGACGCACACAGACGCACACAGACGCACACAGACGCACACAGACGCACACAACACACAGACGCACACAGACGCACACAGACGCACACAGACGCACACAGACGCACACAGACACACACAGACACACACAGACACACACAGACACACACAGACACACACAGACACACACAGACACACACAGACACACACGACACACACAGACACACACAGACACACACAGACACACACAGACACACACAGACACACACAGACACACACACAGACACACACAGACACACACAGACACACACACACACAGACACACACAGACACACACAGACACACACAGACACACACACACACTCACAGACACACACAGACACACACACACAGACACACACACACACAGACACACACAGACACACACACAGACACACACACACACACAGACACACACACACAGACAGACACACACACAACACAACACAACACAACACAACACAACACAACACAACACAACACAACACAACACAACACAACACAACACA